AGGTAAGAGGATCGCTTGAGCCCAAGAGTTGGAGGTTGTTGTGAGCTATGAAGCCACTGCACTCTACCCAGGGTGACAGCTTAAGACTCTTGTCTCAAAAAAAAACAAAATTTTATTGATTGGTTCACCTATCATATAAAGATATTAATTTGTGCTACCTTACTCATATTTTGTGAAAGAAAAATGTATGTGGTAACTGTTTAAGATACAGAGTTCATTTTGAGTAAGGTACATTTTGAGTAAGATACAGAGTTCATTTTGAGTAAGGTACATTCTAGGCATTTCAGGACTGCCTTCAAAATTCTTATAGTCTAGTAATCTATACATAATATTTTCATTTTATTTCATTTCAAATATTTTATAATCAAATATTTCAGTATCTATGTATGAATATTTAAGCTGTATCATACAATTCTCAGTGTGAACAGTATTACTCTCAAGGGGTTAGTAAAGATTGGTTCTGGGGGGTGAAAAAAACAATACCCTTTCATGTATAAAGCACAGATACACCTAAAGTAAGGTAAACAGATATACAATTTATCTGTAGTATTAAAATTTCATTGAGTGGGCAACTATTAGGAAAAAAATATCTAAAAAGGCTCTTTGGTGGTAGTATAGGCTGAAAAAATAATCTCAGAAACTCCGAGCTAAATATGTTGCAAATATGGCTATCAGGGGCTTTTTAAAGGAGAAAAAGCCCTCAATTCTTTAATGAACTAGTTCAGAATTCAGACTTTTGATAATTAAAACTGTTCCGTGTATTTTACATGTAGGTATATGTTGTTGGAGGCTATGATGGGCAAAACAGACTGAGCAGCGTAGAATGCTACGATTCCTTTTCAAATCGATGGACTGAAGTTGCTCCTCTTAAGGAAGCCGTGAGTTCTCCTGCAGTGACTAGCTGTGTAGGCAAGTTGTTTGTGATTGGTGGAGGACCTGATGATAATACTTGTTCTGATAAGGTAAGCTATATTCTCTTAAAGAAATTACCAGTGGGGCTCGGCGCCTGTGGCTCAAGCGGCTAAGGCACCAGCCACATACACCTAAGGTGGAGGGTTCAAATCCCCAGCCCGGGCCCGCCAAACAAC